AGTATTTCGAATGAGTTAAACCTGTATCCTGTCTTCTGAGTAACATTGAGAATATCACTATATATTGTTGCAACACCGCCGCCACGACCAGTCTGACGGGGCTCATGCTTATAATAGTAGCTTGGTGGAGTAGACTCATTTAGATCAATATAATCATTAGGTTTTAGCCACGTTTCAGTCAAGCAGAGTACATCAAAACTATTATCTGTGATCATTTCATTTACAATAACTGCTTTGGGTAAGAGTGATCTAATGTTTAGGAGCCCAAACTTTAAAAATTGTTTTTGTTTTTGCTCACTATGCAGTGATTATCAAAGCAACTGATATTCTCTCCAGAGTGTCCCTCCCATATTTCTTTATCCACTCAGTGCATAAGATGTGCTTTATAGACATTTGCATCTGCTCCATTGTAATCCCATTTGTTCTTGGTAATCATAGTTTAAGGATTTGCAGCTGTGAAGGTGAGGGTGTTCTTATCAAAGCTGAGAACGTCCTCTCCATCATAACCAAACTGCAGGTATCCTCGTTTGTTGCCATCATCATCCAGCTCACAGCCGTACATGAACTGGAACGCATGAACACCTGAGAGGAGAGAAACAACATGATATATCACACTCACCATTCTTCATTTCTTCTAATATAACCTTAAGACTTGATGATTGAGCAGAATGTATTTCAGTCTTCTATTTCTACACAAAAACAAACATCAACATAAAGATGAGAGCAATTATGATTAGCTATTGGGACTGGTTGATACTAAAATATACTAGCACTCAGGAAAAGTGAATAGATGAATATGATTACATATAAACATGAAATCTTTGTCTGTGCATACAGTGCATCTAGAAAGTATTCACAGCACTTAACTTTTTCCACATTTTGTTATTTTAGCTACAGCCTTATTCCAAAATGGACTAAATTCATTATTTTCCTCAAAATTCTACAAACAATACCCCATAATGACAACGTGAAAGAAGTTTGTTTGAAATTTTTGCAAATTAATTTTTAAAAAAAAGGAAACATGTACATATGTACATAAGTATTCACAGCCTTTGCCATGACACTCAAACTTGAGCTCAGGTGCATCCTGTTTCCACGGTGAGATGTTTAATCACATGTACATAAGTATTCACAGCCTTTGCCATGACACTCAAACTTGAGCTCAGGTGCATCCTGTTTCCACGGATCATCCTTGAGATGTTTCTACAACTTGTTTGCAGTCCACCTGTGGTAAATTCAGTTGATTGGACATGATTTGGAAAGGCATATATGTCTATATATGGTCCTATAGTCATGGCCTAATGGTTAGAGTGTCGGACTTGTAACCCGAAGGTTGTGGGTTCGAGTCTGAAGTCCAGCAGGAATTGTAGGTGGGGTAAGTGAATGTCCAGCACTCTCTCCACCCTCAATACCACGACTGAGGTGAGACCCTTGAGCAAGGCACTGAACCCCCAACTGCTCCCTGGGCCCACTGCTCTGAGTGTGTGTGCACTTGGATGGGTTAAATGCAGAGCACAAATTCCAAGTATGGGTCACCATACTTGGCCACATGACATTTCACTTTTTTTTCACTTATGGCAACAAACAAGGATGCACAGCAAACAGGTAAACAGGAACACAGGAAGAGAGTACAGAAATAATGGGGAATTTCAATATACATTTCAATATAAAGTCCTAAACACAAGACAGGGAAACACAGGCAAAGTTACATAACAGTAACATCTAAATGAACAAGTTTTATTCAAGTCAAAAATATTATTTAATATTATTGAATCAACCTAAATACATTAATTTATACCACCAAAACTACTTTATGTGGGTTATGTAGAAATAGCCCTTTAAAGTAACAATTGCAGCACTTTTTGCAGTGTACATGGAAGAAATTGTTTTATTATATAGGTCACTTGGATGATATATTAAACATGTTTTAGTGCATCAAATTTAAGAACAACAAAATTGTAGAATGTAAAGATTACATTCTTCCCTCACTCTGCTATTAATTCCCATGATCGGGATCTTCTTAACATTGATTTCATTTTTAGAAAGGTCTATATCCTTAAAAAAAAAAAGTGGAACAGGCAGTATGAGGATCCACGTGCCACAAGAAAATAGTTACTGTACTCGACAATGGTAAAAAAAACAAAAAAAAAACAAGGAGAAGCATTGAGGAAAATAATTCGGCAATCCTTGACATCCTATCTAGATAGATTTCACAGAGAATTAGTAATTTTGCGATTCATGAACAAACAGAAAAATAGTATATTTGTTCATGAATTGGGCTACACCGGTTGTGTTTCTGACTCACCAAAAAGAACCGGTTGATATAAGAGTCATTTGAGTCAGCTGACTACACTGGATGCACTGCATACATGTGCAGCACACAAGGACCACTTATAGATAGACATGTTTCACTCGTATTCATAGTATAGTCTCTTTTTTATTTCATAACATTGAAGCACAGCTGCTGAAAAGCAGTACAGGAAAAACTGCTTACATTTTTATTTTATACTGGGATTATTCTAGCATGGCAGATGGAGTGGAAACGCTTTTTCTAAGGGGGGCAGTTGTCATCCCATGCCACCCTGGTAGATCCGTCCCTGCATTAGCTATTTATTTTGAGTACTTGATTTGTTCACATTTGCCTTACAGCAGATTAGATTGCACATTTAGAGAATTACTTTAATTGAAAGCAAACAAATTAAGTTTAGAGGAGAAATATTTGTTTCCTAGTGTACCTTATTCACTCAATATATTTTCTTTAGACACAAGTCAATACGTTACTTAATGTAGGTCAAAATTTATTTATTTTCACAACTTAATTTCACCATAAACAGAAGCTAAATTAGCTATAGTGAAAGTAGAATTTTCACTTGAGATAAAACTAAATTTGTTAGTGTTTATATTAGTTATAAATCAACTTACTAATAACAGGAATATTATTTTCGAAAGTCCTTCATGTTTATTGTGATGTCTTTTTAAAACGTGCATAAAAAATAAAAAAATATAAAACCCACAATAATTTCTGTAGTCAACAAAACTAGCCAGTTCTGCACATCAACTTTCTGGTATCAAGTGGAAATATTATTTAAACAAAGTTGTTTCTTTTTATTTGTTTCTATGTTATTTGCTTTTAGCACCGAATTGAACTAAACAGGTCTAATCCTAAAACTTGAGTTTCAGTCTTAGTCTTGTAATTTTCATAGAAATTTAAGGTGATAATTAAAAATAGTGTGTATATTTTATTAAGGAAATTGTGGTTCAGTGTTGTATAGAAAATATTGAGAACATTTCACTAATAAAACCAAAATATATATTTTCCTCATTTTGTAAGGAAACTTAAGCCGTTTTGTGGCTTAAACTGAGGAACCGATGATGAAATTAAGGAAAGAAGGCTACCTATTTATTTTAAGACAATTAATTGACTAATGCGGGTTTTATTTAGAGACCATTTGGTGGTGATTGTTTGGTGTGAAATTAAGTGTTATTTAACATCTGTTAATGTTTAATGTTATGTTTCACATTTGAAAGAGTTTCTATTATTTTGAAGTTTTGATCGTTACCATTGTGCAGAGTAGAGCTGATGGTCAGGTTGTGTATGAACTGTTTTTACTAATACTGGTACTATGAAGCATGTTTGGTGTAATGAGCAATAGCTTTGCTAATGCAGTGCAGAAACAAGTTTGTTATTTCCAGCGTTATCGTTGACATAATTGCAAAGATATTATTTAAACTGAGCTGGATGTTGACATCACTGAATTCAATGATGAACTGTCTTTAACTGAAAAATGAGTGTTTACTATTGTCATTTTGCATTATTGACACTATTTTCCTAATTAATGCGGTTCAGTTGCTTTGTCACAATCTGTATTGTTAAAAGCGCTATATAAATAAAGGTGACTTGACTTGACTTGACTTTTTACTAGTGCTGTGCCAGCAGCATACAGTCTTTTAATTAAACAACAGTTTGTTTCCATTCACTCAAAATCACACACTTTAGAGAGTAAACCTAAAATAAAAGAGCACATTTCACTGGAAAATATTTAATTAATTGTGTTATAGACTAAAATGTTTTTATGAGATTCTACATGGTTTATTAATTTAGATTCTATTAAAGAAATAAAGCTATAAAACCACTCAAAAATATAATGTGTAATATTACCATAATTTTAAGTAGATAGCACATAACCTTTACAGTGTAGATTCTGATGAAATATGAATTCTATTATTTGAATAAGAGAGTAAAAGACAGATATTCACCACTTGCTCCTTTCTGTGAGGTTTATTTTCTTTAAAGAATCAACATTACAATTTTTAAGGCAACCAATTTACATCCACATTCATGTTAATTCAACTTCACATTCAACGTTAATCTTTACTAACCTCAAATAAAGGAAATATGTATTTTACTGTACTGTTCAGATGTTAATGTTTAATAACATCATCTGTTCTGGAGTATTATCTAACTATTCTGGAGTACAGCTTATCATCTAAATCATTTAAAACAAATAAGAATGTAAAAACAGAAAAAGCCCAATAATCCCATACAAGGAATAAAATAAAGCATACTGATTGTCATTTAACTGAAGGAAAAGCCCAGTTCCACACATCATCAAATCTAGATCATTTCAACTTAAAGTTATTTAAATGTTGCAGTCGATAAACAACTAGTTTTCCATAATTTCTCCCACAGAAATTGTCTCTAGAAACTACATATAAACAGATTTATCTTCTTAGACTGAGAGAGGCTGTTGTACCCAGATGTTTACATCGATTATACACATTTCAGCTCCTTTTTCATGGAGAGTACTGCATCATAACCCTACAAATCAATCTGTCCTAGATCCTACAAATCAAACAGCCTTGCAAACCAATCATTTGTATTCGTTGTTTTCTGTCACTGAAGAGAAATATATACATTTTACAATTTAGCTTCTGTGACAAACATCTCATATTTCTGCATTTTTAACAATCAACAAGTTAATAAACTGAAAACTATAAGATGATCAGCAAGTGTGAAGAAACAAAAACATTACTTTTTTGATGTAATTAATATATAAGACAGATCATTCCCAGAAATCTTTGATTGTGTGTGTGTGTGTGTGTGTGTGTGTGTGAGAGAGAGAGAGAGAGAGAGAGAGCGTTTGTGTTTATGTGCAGTTTTCTAAGCCAGCAGGAAAAGTTTCATCTCTCTTCATCTCTCACATGTCTGGTCTCCTAAAATGCCAGAAAAATATATTACATTCATTCATTTGACATGACTGACACAGTTACAGTGATGAATAAAAACCACCTACATCTTTATGCTTGTGGAACTGTATGAGCCGAGCTGTTTGAGCCGTCATCAGAGCCTAAAACACACAACAATATTACAGTAACATCACAACAGACTGATCACACAACACCTTTTAGATTAGCACAGCAATCATTTCTGAATCTATCCAGTGTCATAATTATTCTAATGTATAAGTTCTACATTAGAGAGAAAAACATACTGGACAAAACTTCTATTTTAATTTACTTTATGATTTTATATTACTAAAACATTATATTATGGATTTAGAAATATGAAGACACTTCTTTTAACCACATCATGGCCGATGTCAGAGTCCACTTTGATACATTCTCATTATTTGTATTTATAAGAAACTTACCGCTGACAGGTTTAAAGCCTGAAAACAATCAGAGATGTGAACTGTAAGTGAATTTCATTCAACCACAAAAGTTAACATGATCAAATCTAAGACTACAATCAGTGAACACAATTTAAACTTCTTTAAGTTCCTCACAAACAACATTTAATACATTTATATGCTATATAAAATGTTGTACTTTATACAATTTAAAAAAGTTAATCGAAGACATTTGAATCATTTGAAGGACTTTTGTGCACCCTGTTATAGAATTTGTCCTCACCTTTTTTCTTCTGATACACCATATATCCAGCAACACCAATGACCACCAGCAGAACAACAGCAGCAAGAGCACCGACAATGATGCCGATGGGAACAGACTCTCCTGTTTGTTCAGAGAAAACATCAGTTTACTCACAAAGACAGATAATGTTACTAACCAGTGAAACTCTCGTACAGTGTCTGTGATTGTGATATATGCAGTACATTGCTATGTAGTGACAGCATGTTCGCAATGTGCAACCATATAACAACAATACAGGCCTAAACATGTTGTGTTTGTACTCTATTGTTTGTTTTGTGATTGTTTCCATTTTACTTTATTTTTCAATAAACTTCCTTGTTAATAAACCAGTGATCTTTTGGGTTTATTTTTTGGTGAGTCAAGACCTAATACAGTTGGTGGTTAATCTCAGGAGGGACTATATTTGTAGTCCACTCATCTAATTTCTCTTACCTGGGTTAGTCCTGATCTCATTCGCTGTCTTGGTCTTGCCCTGATGCTCCACCACACAGCTGAACTTGTTCTTCTTCCACTCATCAGGTTTAACATTGAGGGTGCTCGTCTTCTGAAAGGTCCCGTCTTCATTGGATAGAAGTTCACCGAGATCCACATCCTCATCATGATCTTGTCCGTTTCTCATCCAGGAGATTGTTACTCCACTGGGGTAAAAACCTGTAGCATGACACGTGACTGGAGACGAGGAAGACTTCTGCAGCAGAGACACCTGAGGAGAGACTGAAGAGAGACAGACAGCTTGAATTCAAGTGATCTTAAATTCATGTCGTCCCAATCAAGACCTTTATAACCCCCCAGCACACTGTCTGTGAAGGCTGGTCTTCATTCAGTTCACTGTATAATGTCAGGTAGAGGTTGAAGTGTGCTGGAACTGCTGCTGGAAAGCTCTGGTTTCTACTAAGGCACTCTGCAGGAGGAGCTGTATGTCCTTTCTATGTAACCTTTTTTTCTAAACTTTCAATACTACTAATAATAACTCAATATTTAGAGAAATCTAAAACAGAGCTTCTTGTCATCCTAGCCGGTCTAATTGAGCAAACAAACCCATTTTGATAGGCTTGACAGCACAGTAATGTCCTCTACTGTAGGTCAGCCAGGACCCCGACAGTAAATACTACAGACGTCACTGCTATGAGTCTCTGGTGATGTGGAGTTGTGCTCTTTAACATCAGGAAGATCAGATTCTTACAATCTGAGTATGTTACACAGCTCACAGCAGGGTTTAGTCAAATCAAATCTGTGCTGCTGCTAGTCTTACTGCAGTCCAGAGAGAGGCAGCAAAGTTTGTCTTCTAGTAAATAAATACACAAGCAATCTTTTAACTATTGTGTTAATGAAAATGATAACCTGGGGTTGGGTGCCCCTCGAGGGTGATAGTTCATGGCATGCAGGGTTCTGATCAGCAAACTAACAGTTAACAGTTCTGGATGTGGTTGCAACAAACCCATTAATTTAAGAAAATCTTTAGTAATAACATCCTAACAGTTTTAACTGGACACGGAGCTTTGCCACTATAACACATCAAGCCTGCATCAGTTTATTATTTTCTAGCCAGTTCATAATTGACAGGTTTAGATGAACATGCTCCTCCTGAACCTGTTTAGCAATCCATTTATAAAAATGCCTTTATTATTCATTTCTACAAACAAAACACATGATCTGTATTGCTTTAATCAAAACAATCTACTCTGAAAGAAAGAAGTAGCTTTTACAGTGATTTCTAGAGTAGAAGACTGTTTAACAAAACATGTATGGCTATATTTTCATATTTTCACAGCTGGATAAGATCTGATGTACCTGTTTTCTGCAGACTGCTCTTTCCATACTGCACATACTTCTTCAGCCACTCGATGCACTCAGTGCTGAAGTAATTTCTGTCATTCTCAATCAAGCCTTTGTCATTGTTCCACTTCTGTACAGTGAGGATTGCTTGCTGCACTGGAGAAATATATCTCAGCTCCTTAAAATCCAGAGACACAAAGTCCTCTCCATCATATCCAAACTGTTTGAATGCATTTGTTGCTCCAGTCTGATCATCAATACTTCTTCAGCCACTCGATGCACTCAGTGCTGAAGTAATTTCTGTTAATCTCAATCAAGCCTTTGTCATTGTTCCACTTCTGTACACTGGGGATTGCTTGCTGCACTGGAGAAATATATCTCAGCTCCTTAAAATCCAGAGACAGAAAGTCCTCTCCATCATATCCAAACTGTTTGAATGCATTTGTTGCTCCAGTCTGATCATCCCACTCACAGCCGTACATTTCCTGGTATGTGTGCACACCTGAAGAAGAGAGAGATTGAATGTATGAATTATCAATTAATACAGTCAGAATAAAACCATCAGTCAGTCAGAAACATGTTTGACTCAGAATCAAATAAATCTGACTGACGTTATTTTAGTTTTTTGGCCTCCATTCTAAATTTTAATAATAATTTAGTAATATTTGAGTTGTGAGTTTACTGACTAAATGTATTATGATAAGAGAACAAGAACAGGTGCTGAGAAAGAAAAGACAATAAACAGACAACATGATTTCTATTGTGACATCTACACCGGTTACACAGAAGAGCACACACAAATCAAACTGTACTGTACTGTGTTAATGATCAGTCTGACTTAACCACTCCCTCACTGACTGAATGTGTCTGAGCAGCTGGTGACTTATTTACTGCATCAGATCTGTGTCTTAGAACCAGAATTGTTCAGTTTCATTTAATTGTGAAAAAATAAACAGCAACAAAATTGTGACTAAACCACTGAACCACAATAGATATAACACAGTGAACCAAACAGAAGCAGAACAAGACAACACAGACAGCAGCAGTACTGTGTTAATGATCAGTCTGACTTAACCACTCCCTCACTGACTTTACTTTACTGTCATCAGATCTGTGTCTTAGAATCAGAATAGTTCAGTTTCATTTAATTGTGAAAAAATAAACAGCAACAAAATTGTGACTAAACCACTGAACCACAATAGATATAACACAGTGAACCAAACAGAAGGAGAACAAGACAACACAGACAGCAGCCAATATCAGACCATCAGTGACATGAATGAGTGTTCATTTGATCATCGATGAGGTGACAAACAATCACTGAACACTACTAAAGAAAGCAGCTTTACGTTAAAGTGCTTTTAAAAGCTCAGTTTCAACACCTAAAATGTAACTTTTTTATTTTCAGTAAAATCAATGTAATATATTTTTGTTCAATAATATTTTTTCTTTTATATTTTGAGAGAATTTCATGGCACTAATTAATATTTATGCTATAATTATGTTCAATTTTTTTCCCACCAAAAATAATATTTTTTTCCTAATATTTTCATCTCATCTAAAGCATCTCTGCTCACACATTTTTATTTTCAGTAAAATCAGTGTAATATATTTTTGTTCAACAATATTTTTTGTTTTTTATTTTGCTTTTTGAGAGAATTGCATGGTACTAATTAATATTTACGCCAAAATAATGATACATTTTTTTCCCATCGAAAATAACAAATTTTTTTCTAATATTTTCATCTCATCTAAAGCATCTCTGCTCACACATTTTTATTTTCAGTCAAATCAAAGTAATATATTTTTGTTCAATAATATTTTGTCTTTTTTATTTTGTATTTTGAGAGAATTTCATGGCTCTAATGAATATTTACACAATAATTATGATCACTTTTTTCCCATCGAAAATAATAATAAAAAGTCTAATATGTTCCTCTCGTCTGAAGCAGAGCTGTTCACACGTTTCACTTCTTCTCCTCTGTTTCTGAAGCAGAAGCGGTTCATTTCTCACAGAAGAAGAACGAGATTAAAAACACAGTCAAGACTAACTTTCTGTCGGTTGAGAATCAGTTAAAAAAACCTGGAATTTGAAGCAGTTTTAAATTTGAATCACTTTTAAAAGCTTGAAGCTTGAACTCCTGAAATTGTATTATTTTTTTATTTTCCGTCAAATCAAAGTAATATATTTTTGTTTGATAATATTTTGTCTTTTATATTTTGTATTTTGAAAGAATTTCATGGCTCTAATTAATATTTATGCATTAATTATGATCACTTTTGTTATGATCACAAAGCCACACGTCTTTGTTGACGCGCACGAAGGAATTATTCGGTAAAAGTGTTTCCGTCGTAGTTTATGCGAATGCTTTCTAACCGGATAAGAATTTATTGAGTGCATAAGTTTATGCGCATCTTGGCGTTTCCATCCAGCGGTTATATTTTTATGCGATATCCCAAAACGCACATAGAAATGGGTGGATGGAAACATATAAAGCACGGTTTTCTCGTCCGCAGACAGCAGCATCTCTAACGTGAGCATGATATTAAAATCAACCCCAGACTGCATCTGACTGATCTCAGAGCAAAACTAGACGACGCTCATCAGGATCGGCGCTGACGCTGCTCTGACAAAGCCTCGTCTGAAAGCTTCATCGTTTAGAAAGCTGCTAGCGCTGCGCTCAGAGACACAGACGTGTGCGTGTTCACATCTGAATGTGTTCACAGTCGAGTTTCAGCTGCAGTTTGAACAGATTCGGCCGTTTCCACGTTCTGTCAGTTAGAAAAGATGAAATAATAAACTAATTCATCAGCTTAAAGCCCCGTTCACACCGAGAGCGCTAGCTATAAAGATCAGGATATCAGCGTCCGCAGCAGCGACGATATATCGTGTGTTTATTGTAAGCGCGCGCGCGTCTGTCGCTTTAAATCCTCCAGCTCGTGACAGCAGGGTGGATTCTGATTGGCTGTCAGAGTTTTATTCTTCATCAGCTGGAGAAAAGCGTTTTGAAAGCGATCACGATATCGTTCCTCTGTGCCGTTACCGTTATAGTTGTGCTGTGGACTCGGCTGTTCTTTAATATCGAGAAGGACTTTTAGAAGTATATCGTTATGGTTATCGTGCTCGGTGTGAACGCGGCTTAAGTGGGGAAAATCACAGCTATGGCTTCTTGATTGGTTCTTGATTTGATTTGAAATGAAAGGATATTTGAACGGATCCGTCTGTGTTTCTGTCTCTCTTCACTGGCTTCAGTGTGTCTCTGAGACTCGGAGCTTCTCGTTACAGCTCATTCTTCATCACAAACACTGAAAGTCCAGCTGAAAGCCCAGCTCAGACCTGGGTTTATAGCGGCTGCTCGTCTGTGTGGGCTAGGCCGGGTTCATGAAATGATCTCTGAGTCACAGCAGTGTTGTGTTCTCTGGAGCTCGTGAAGTAATGAAGACCTCGTGAAAGTCTAGCTTTAGACTGGTTTATGTGGGTTAGCGCTGGTCTGGTGCTGCTTTAGCTGCTAATTCAGGGAGTTAAGAACCGGTTCGTTTCTTACAAAAGAAGAAGGAGATTCAACAGATTGTCGAGATTAACTTTGTTGCTCGAGAAGCAGTTTTAAAAGCCTGAAGTCTGAAGTAGTTTTACATTTGAATCGCCTTTAAAAGCTTGAAGTTTGAACTCCTGAAACGTAGCTTTGTTTTATTTTCAGCAAAATCAATGCAATATATTTTAGTTTGATAATATTTTTTCTTTTTTAATTTTGTATTTTGAGAGAATTTCATGGCTCTAATTAATATTTACACAATAATTATGATCGCTTTTTTTCCCATCGAAAATAATTTTTTTTCCTAATATTTTTTCATCTCATCTAAAGCATCTCTGCTCACACATTTTTATTTTCAG